GTATGTATGTATATATGTACAAGTGTAAAACACTTATGTGTATTATTATATATATACACATAAGTGTTTTACACCCTTCCCGCACTCTTGCAATATTCTAAACACTGTTTCTAAACTCAAAACGCTTTAAAAAGAGCACAGAATGTCATGATCAGCTCTCTGCCTCCTCTGCTCTTGGCCACGCCCACTTCTCCACTCTGCAGCTGAACAGCTGATCAGCTGCAGCAGAAATTTTATTCTGCAGTAAGAGCTGCACAAAGCTGCAGGAGGAAGCTTTTTCTGCAGATCTGGGCTGCACCAATGTGCAGAATAGGTGATAATTTAAAATGAATTATTTTAAATAAAAATTCCATGCAGATCGTGCAGCTCATCCATCAATCAGCCAATTGTGTCATGTCCAATCTTATTTTGAAAAACCGCGATAGAGCGAGTCCACAATCAACGATTCTCGAAGTAGCGAGGGACCACTTTATATATAATCCCCTTCCTTTAATGGTGCATAGCACTAAAAAAAGTTACATGGTAAATATATGACAGCCATTCTTTAACATGTTTGTTTCTACATTGTGCTGTGCTGTTTTGATTTTTGGAACCATTTGATCAAGGGCCTTGCTCAAAGGCCCACAGTAGTGCAAACGAGGGTGGAGGCAGATGTGGTGCGGTGGAAGTGGTCTCCAGCTACAAGTACTAGGGTGTGCACCTGAACAACAACCTCAGCTGGAGCAACAACACCCCCTGCCTGATCAAGAAAGCTCATCAGAGACTCTACTTCCTCAGACGGCTGAGACGAGCTGGTCTGGGAAGCTCAGTCCTCACCTCCTTCTACAGGTGTGCAGTGGAGAGCATCCTGTGCTCCAGCATCAACGTGTGGCATGGAGGCTGCACAGCTGCAGAAAGAAAAGCTTTGCAGAGAGTGGTGAAGGCTGCACAGAAGATGTTGGAGTCAGCCTCCCCACCATCACAAACATCTACACCTCCAGATGCAGGAAGAGGGCCACCTGCATCATGAAGGACCATACTCACCCAGCACACACACTTTTTGCCCCCCTCCCCTCAGGAAGGAGGTTGAGGAGCATTAAGAGTAGAACAGCTAGACTGAGGAACAGCTTCTACCCAGAGGCTGTTAGACTCATCAATCTCTAACCAGAATAATCACTGTGAAAAATCACGTTGCTGCTGATCTGCTTCATGTTGCTGCTGATCTGTTTCATGTTGCTGCTGATCTGTTTCAT